AGAGAGAGAGAGAGAGAGAGAGCGATTCCGAGAGAGGGGGGGGGGGGGGGGGTAATTGTCGGCTGGAAAAATGTGGGAGTAGGAGTGGGAGAAAAGGCTAGGGGGTTAGTGTTTTAAATTGTAACTACAAGGGCAAACAAAATATTTAAATTTTTCTGGACGGTCTATAATATTTAGATTAGAATTTGAGTTTTTGATTAGGGAAGAAAAATTCATAGGACCTATCCCTATATGTTTTCTAAATTAGGGGAGTATCCCACATTTCCCCTATATGTTTTGACTAGGGAAGGAATGTTCTTTCGAATATATTTAAGGGGTTTTTGTGCAAGTCCCTTACCAACCATTTTTATTATTTTAGGTTCATGGGACTACCTCTTTCGTCAATAAGCCCATTCATTTAATATGTATTATAAATAAAAGAAAAAATAATGTATATGACAAAATTACCCCCAACCTTTTACACTCAATCCTTAATTGTAAACTCAATTTAATCAATTTTGACCACAAATATTCAATTTTGACTTTTTTTAAATTTTGTTTTTTCAGAAATTATTTTTTTGCTGCCAGTTTCCAGCGTTGACCTTTTCGATTGTTTTTTATTTTTTTATTATTTTTTTGTCTGTTTTTTCCGCCGCCATATTCCAGCGTTGAATTTTTTTTGTGGTTTCTTTTTTTGGTTTTACGCCCGCCGATAAACTTGACCATAATTGTGCTTTCATTAACAGTAATTATACTGTCACTGACAGTAATTTAACGTAATTATACCGTCACTAGCAGTACATTAACGTAGTTTTACTGCCGTTGACAATACATTTACAATATGTAATTGTATCGCTGTTGACAGTACAATTAGATTCAACGATAATATTATTGTTCGTACAATTTGTTGACCGGTCAATGTAATAATATTACTGCCGTTGACAATAAAATTACTGTAAACACAATAATATCACTTCAAACACATCAATATTATTCTTTTTTGGCCTTTTTATTTTGTTTGATTTGTTGACCGATTAACGTAATAATATTACTGTCTACAATAGTAATATTACTGTAAACACAATAATATTACTGTGGTTGACGGTAATATTATTGTGGCTGACAGTAATATTATTGCAACCACAAAAATATTAATTCTTTTGGCCTTTTATTATGTGTGCCTTTGTTGAACGGTCAACATATTAATATTAGTTTATTACACAATTATAGTGATGTTTGTTGTGTTAATATTAGTGTGCTAGAGAGTAGTATAACAATAATACTGTGTTAAATAGCAATATAGTTAATGTGACTGTCAACTACAACAATAATACTGTTTAAACAGGCTAAAAAATATTGAAGAACAAAATTCCAAAAAAAAAGTCGATGCCGCGGAGACCGGCATCGACTGCCGGTCAACGACGTCAAAAACAAGAAAAAATCAACGCCGTCGACGGGCGAAATTGTAATCAAATTGAATAATTGATGAAATTTGGGATCAAATTGAGGTTACATTGAATGAAATGATGAAATTGGAGCATATTAAAATGTGCGGGGGTATTTTAGTCTTTTACATACCTTCGGACATTGTCTGGATTATTTTATAAAATATTTTCTTGTCTTGACCCCTTTATAAATAAGAGGGTCTTTGGCTAAGCTTATAAGATGTTAAAAGGAGCTTATAAGATGTTTTAGAGCTTATAAGCTCTTCCAAAGTGTTTGGTAAATTCTTAGAAAAAAATCTTAATTTTTTTTAAAATAAGCAGTTGGAGAGCAAATAAGATCTTTTTAAATAAGTACCTCTACACCACCTTTTTATTTAAGATCTTTTAATGAGTAAAAATAGGAAATAAGCCCATTATCCAAACACTCTAAAAATTAATCCTAAAAATAAGATGTAACAGCTTATCAGCTCTTAAAACGCTCTTAACACATCTTATCAGACGTAAAAGCTTATCAGCTGTTTAAAATAAGCTTAGCCAAACACCCTCTAAGGAAAGAGAATATATATGGAGAAAGTAAATTTTAAAATTTATATGGAATAAGTGATTCTTATACTATAAATGTGTCATATTAATCAACCTTATTTATGATTGATTGCGCTCCTTTCCTATCTACATAAAAAATGCAATAAATTCAAAAAACATGATGGTTAATTACAATTAATCAAAAAAAAAATATTAATTGAAAATAAATCCTAGAATTGATGTTGAAATTTAATTAACATAAATGAAAAGGAAAGTAAATCAAAACATTAATATAATTTTCCCTATAATTAATGTTGTGAATGTTGAAGAATAAAAAAAAAAAAAAAAAAAAAAATTGATTTACCTCTATAAAATATGAAATGTTCCCCAAGGTCGTGGACCTAGAACTAGGGGTGGGCATTCGGGTCGGGTTATTCGGGTATAACCCGACCCGGTCGGGTATTACCCGACCGGATCGGGTAATTTTTTACGTAACCGGGTTTTTCCCGGGTTCGGGTACCCGGTGCTCCCAAACCGGGTCGGGTCCGGGTATTTGAAATCCTACCCGGGTACCCGCTCGGGGACCCGCGGGAAAATTTTTTTTTTTTTTTTTTTTTTTTTTTTTATATATATAGATATATATATATATATATATATATATATATATATATATATATATATATATATATATATCAGTGACAGTATATGTATATGTATATGTCTATATATATATATATATATATATATATATATATATATATATATATATATATATGTATGTTATATATTATATATATATGTATATATGTATGTTATATATTATATATATATGTATATCTTAAGTAAATTTAGTTATTGTTTATTTAAAAAAAATAAAAAAAAAAAAGAAAAAAAAAAGAGGAAAATAGCAAAACCCGAACCCGACCCGAACCCGACCCGAAATAACCGGGTACCCGGTTGCCGGGTACCCGGCTATCTCGGGTCGGGTTCGGGTAATTTTTTTTTTGCAAAAAACCCGAATAACCCGACCCGAATAACCCGAATAACCCGACCCGACCCGAATGCCCACCCCTACCTAGAACCATATATAGTATAAATTTGTCATTGCTCATGTCGAAACTTTCTAATATTCGTTGATCTCGTCGCACATATTTGCATCTATTGTGTGGTTTGCAGATTTGAGAAGTTGTACGCCAATATTTTTACCGTCAAGTTTGTAACCACAGTATGATATTATATGATTTTCAGGGTCTCAATAAAATACGGCACCACGTAAAATTCACCCTGCAGCATATCACAATAGGTTAGGGTTGCCTACAATAACACTCATATACATGTATGCTTCCAGTGAATATTACCTGGTGAATTTAATCAAGATAGTTGGTAATTGTGAAAAAAAATATATATAACTATGACATAGTAATTTTTTTTGATAAGTAAAATATATGTAAATTGAAAAAGGGATATAGTTCACCTAACTCCGACTTAATTTTTTTTCATTCCTTTCATATTTTACGTGTATATATTTGAGTAATGTGCAAAAAGTACTCATGCATGTGTAATCTTTATCTGCCAAAAACCGCCATATGATAAAATAACTAGCAAAAACCCCCTTATATAAAAAAAGTCAAACGCAAAAAATCCCCTTGGAGCAGAACGTGTGTTCCACTTGCTGCTTGTGTGATTTTTTGTTCATTTTTGCTTATGAAATGACAGAATTGTCCCCCAACCCACCCACCACCATCATCATAATCTCTCTTCACTCCCCTTGGCTCTTTTGATTTTTTGGGAAAATTGCAATTCAATCCCCTAATTTAAGTTTTACAAGTTTAATGAAATTGTAATTTTGCCCCATATTTCATGTTATTTGATCTTATTCAATTTTATCGTAGGGTATATTTGTGTTTTTACGTTCAGTCAATGTTTAAAATCATAATGAGTGTAGTGACCTATTTAAAAATTTACACGGGGAGTTTTTGCTAGTTATTTTTTATCACATGGGGGGTTTTTGGTAGATAAAGATTACACATGGGTACTTTTTGCACATGACTCGTGTGTGTGTATATATATATATATATATATATATATATATATATATATATATATATATATATATATATATATATATATATATATATATATATATATATATATATATATATATATATATATATATATATATATATATATATATATATATATATATATATAAATGCTATTTGTATCTGAACGCCCGCCAAACCAGAATCGTACGCCCCAAACCAGGCGCGCATTCCCGAAATGGACGCTCAAACCAGGCGTTCACCAGCATTTTCCATGCTCAAACCGGGTGTGAAAAATGTTGTTGAGCGTTCACCGAGCGCAATTTTGGAAAAAACGGCCCTACAAATCGATTTGTAGGATTGTTTAACATCAAATTACAACTGAAATTTCCTACCAATGCATTAAAAACTTTTAGGAATTAAAAATACCTCAAAATTTCAATGAATTTCGCTTGTTTTAATTTGCTTGAATTCGAATTTTTAGAATTTTTTATAAATATTTCGGTTTTGGGGGGAAGTGGGTGAGAGGGTTTGTAGCGAGAGAAGTGCTTTTGGGGTATGAACTGCAAATAGCAAATTTCTAAACCAAAAAGCAATTCACTATATATATGATGAGACCTCAAAATAATAAGTCACACCTACTTCCTTTGTAATACCTTGAAGAGTTGATATGATGGCAACTGTTTTTCTCTCTGTGCTTCCAAAGTTCCATCCATCATTGAATGTCGTCTCATTGGTTGGAATTGGTACGAGGAATATCCAAACCAAAATCACAATTCACAGTTGTCAGTCAAAGATTAAAAAAAAAATTAGTACTACCAAACAAGGAATAAGATCAAAGCATTACTCTTCACATGAAAGAATCTTTAAAGCATTAGATGATTTCATATGCAAGTTCATCATCTTAAGCACCTCTCTTTCCCCGCATGTCGACCCGAAACACGAACTCTCCGGCAACTTTTATCCTGTGGAAGAGCTTCCACCCACCGCCTGCCAAGTGGTGGAGGGGTCTCTGCCCTCCACCCTGGAAGGCGGCGCTTACATCCAAAACGGCCCCAATCCTCAGTTCATCCCACGTGGGCCCTACCACATAGCCGACGGTGACGGAATGCTCCACTCCATCAAATTCTCCGGCGGTGACAAAGCCATCTTCTGCAGCCGTTTCGTAAAGACTCACAAGTATGTAATGGAGCGTGATTTGGGCTATCCGTTTTTCCCTAACCCGATTGCGTATTTCATTAGTAATAGGTTACGCTTCATATTTTTAACCGTGGCAAGAGGTATTATTGGTGGGAAGATCAATCCTCTTACCACTGGCATCGGAACGGCGAATACTAGTTTATTTGAATTCGCAGGACATCTTTTCGCAATGATAGAGTCCGATCTTCCATATGAGATAAAAATATGTCCAGACGGAGATATACTCACCATTGGCCGCCACGATTTCCACAGTAGCAGCGATGGCGACCTTTTCTCGCATATGACAGCCCACCCGAAAGTCGATGCCGACACGGGTGAAGCATTTGCTTTCCGGAACAATGTTATCCCTCCGTTTCTGACGTTTTTCAGAATCGATCCTAATGGGAGGAAACAAAAGGACGTGCACATATTGTCCATCAAGGGCGTAACGTCGTATATTCATGACTTTGCCGTGACGAAAAGATTCGCCGTATTCCCCGATGCACAGCTTGTGATGGATCCTTTGGGAATAATGAGAGGAAAGAAAATAATTAGGGTTGATCCTGAAAAAACTCCAAGACTTGGCATTATTCCGCGATATGCTACTGATGACAGTGAAATGTATTGGACTGATGTGCCTGGATTGAACATGATGCACGTAATTAATGCATGGGAAGATGACGATGATGCTACGTGTAACAAAATCGTGATGGTGGTTACTAATATATTGCCAGTTGAGAATCTATTGGAACGACGAAATTCAACACATTTATCGCTGGAAAAGATTACAATTGATATCAAAACAAAGGAGGTAGTTAGGTGTATTGTTTCGACCCAAAGCATCGACTTCGGTGCGATTAATCCTAAATACGCCGGCAAGAAAAACAGGTTTAATTTGTATAAAAATATATTATTATATTCATGACTTTCTTATATTAATTCAAGCATGAACAATATACTTCAGGTACATGTATGCAGCAGCAATAGAGAACTATCCAAAGATGGTTGGTGTGGTGAAGTTAGATTTGTCGCTATGTGGTGAGGAATATTCCGGCGACTCTGCGGTGGTGGCCAGCCGGATTTACGGGGCTGGATGCTATGGGAGCGAACCTATATTTGTCGCGAGAGAAGCAAACAATTCGACAGCAGAGGAAGACGACGGTTATTTGTTGGTTTATGTACATAACGAGAATACTGAAGAATCGAAGTTCATTGTAATGAACGCAAAGTCCCCAAGCCTTGAAGTTATTGCTGAAGTTAAGCTACCTGGGAGGGTGCCCCATGGCTTCCATACTACATTTGTGAGCCAAGTTGACAACCTTATTCCTTAAACTTTGAGGTTCTTACATTAAAATATGTAATATCTAATAAATATGAAATGTAATTAATCATCAGTTGAACAAATCTCCCATCACAAAATATAGACATGCTATTTGTACATTTGTACTCTATGGTACTCCATCAAACACAATATATGAAAGTGAGATTTGAGATATTGTAATACAAAGCCTAATGTTGTGTATCCAATGCATTCTCATTATTTTTAGGGTAAATTACACACACCCCCCTGAGGTAAGCTTAAATAACTGTAAGGTCCCTGTGGTATCGATAATTACACTTAGCCCCCTGAAACGGTTTAGGAGCTATATCTCTTTCACCAATAACCTCATCGCTTTAATATTTATTATAAATAAAGGAAACATTCATGTATATGCCAATAGTATCCCCAACCCTTTATACACAATTCTTAATTGTAACCCCAAGTTAATCAATTTTGTCCACAAAAATCCAATTTTGACTTTTTTTTCAAAGACTTTTTTTTTATCAAAAAAAAAAATGTTTTGCAGCCAGATTCCGGCGTTGACTTTTTGATTTTTTTTCCTGGTCTATTTTTTTCCGCCGCCGGATTCTGGCGTTGACCGCCGGTCTCCAGCGTTGATTTTTTTTTTTTTTTTTTAACGTCTGCCGCTAAACGTTGACCGTAATTGTGCTATCACTGACAGTAAATTAACATAATTGTAATGCCGTTGACAATACATTTATGTAATTGTTCTGCCATTGACAGTAAATTAACGCAATATTATTATTTTTTATTTTTTGTTATTTTTTTTAATTTGTTTGATTTGTTGACAAATCAACGTAATTATATTACTGTTGACAGTAAAAATAACTGTAAACACAATAATATTACTGTCAATAATATCAATATTATTATTTTTTTGGGTTTTTTGTTTTGTTTGAGTTATTCACGGAGTAACGTAATAATATTACTGTCTATTATTGTAATATTACTGTAAACACAATAATATTATTGTGGTTGACGGTAATATTACTGTTGTTTTAGTAATATTGTTGTCAACCACATCAATATTATTATTTTGTTTGGATTTTTATGTTTGAGTTATTCACAGAGTAACGTGATAATATTACTGTCTATTATTGTTATATTACTGTGGTTGAAGGTAATATTACTGTTGTTGAAGTAATATTACTGTCACTCACAGTAATATTAATTCTTTTGACTTTTTATTATGTTTACATTTGTGGAACGGTCAACATAGTAATATTACTCTATTACACAATAATAATGAGTTTTGTTGAGCTAATATTACTGTGCTAGAGATTAATATAGCAATATTACCGTGTTAAACTGTAGTTTAGTTAATTTTACTGTGTTTAGCAGTAATATAGTTAATATTACTGTCAATCACATCAATATTGTTATTTAAATGAAAAACAAATGTTACGGAAAGAAAATAAAAGTCAATGCCGGAAACCGGCGAAAAAATCCCGAAAAAAAAATCGAAAAGTCAACGTCAGAATCCGGCGGCAAAAAAAATATTTTGTTGAAAAAAAAAGTGTTGGGTCAAAATTAAATAATGTGTGAAATTTAGGGTCAAATTGAAGTTAAATTAAATAAATGATGAAATTGGAGTATATTAAAGTATGAGGGGGTTTCCTCAAAAAAAAAAGTATGAGGGGCTATTGTAGTCTTTTACAAAAATATGGAACATGTGTGACTTATTTATAAATAAGTTTTTTGTCTAGATCTCTTTATGAATATGTACTCATTGATGGGCTTATTTGTATTGAAACCATATATATATATATATATATATATATATATATATATATATATATATATATATATATGGACAACAAAAAACTATTTTAGTAATAAGGCAAGGGGCCTCATTCTCTTAGGGTACACAAGACAAGAAAAATGGAAAGAAATAGAATTAATGGAGGAAAAAGTAAGGTTATAAGAGCAACTTCAATGCTAAATGGGTTTATTAGGGATAACCCCCTTATTCATATTTTCTAATGAGGTAGATCCAATTAATTTTTCCCTTTTTGAAATAAACCCAAATTTGCCAAATTGGCAAAATATATTATGTAATTTCCCTTTAATACCCCTGTTTTATTTTGAACGACATTTATTTCCTTAACTACGTGATATGAGATTGCTGATACGTTTCCTAAAATCACGGAATAAAATTACGTGAGTATATTGCCGGTTTCTATCAATTCGTGTTCAATCGGTTTTGAACATTTTCTCCAGCGTTTCATCGTTTTCCATCGGCTTTGAAGATTTTTTCACCGGCGTGGAAATAGGTTCGGATTTGAGCGTTCATTGTTGTTCGTCGTTAAGCAGGTATGAATGTGATTTTTTTCGTTTTTATTTTCGTTGTATGTGCAGGGTTGTCGTGTATGGTGGTTAGACATTTTAAGATTTGTGTTTGATACTTGATTCAATTAAGTAGAACGTTTTTTAACAAAATTACGTCGTCACATATACATCGTTATTTTGGCTGATGATGTTTGTTTGGATTAGGATTTACAGAGTTAGAAGAGGATGGTTCACGCAGTCGGACCAGAGTTGTTTTATACGAGTGTCGTAGTTGGTTTATGTAATAATCAAAATAAATGTATGGTGTGGTCGAGTTCATGAGTTTGATCCCGATTGATAGTTGGTTTATTTGTCTACAACAGTCGATTTAAGTGTGCTCGGTAGTACATTAAAATATATTTCGTAGTCTTTTTTAATTGAGTGTATGGATTATGCATTTTAAGTTTATTTTTGATGATATTAATTTATTGTCATTCAGATGTATTTGCAGTCTATTTAATCAAATTTTAGTATTCTGCATTTTTAAGTTCGTTCCATGATTTTAGGTTTTTTCGATGGCGAATTTCGTACGGATTTTGTTGAGGTTTGGTGGGTTGGTTGCTATAAAGATGTGTTCGAATGGGTTTTCTCGCGGTTCATTGGTTGCATTAGTTATTTCAAAGTGGCCACAACTCGATGGATGGGATATAAGCATCACATATAGGCTGGAAGGCATTGGTGAATGTATCTTGGCTGACGATGAGGACATGATGTCGATGTTTGAAATGTTATCATATCTGTCGTTGGATTGTATTGCTGTTAACATTGTTGGAAAACCAGTAGGTTTGGCTGGACCGAATGTATTATCTGCAGAGGTTGGTGGCTTCCCATTGGTGTTGTATGATGAAGGTGTGGTTGTTAATGAACGCATTGTAGAGGGAGTGGCGGATAAGGTGAAAGGCAGAAGATTGCTGAGTGCGGATTGGGCATATTTGATTAAGGATGTAGGTCAGGTTTTTGAAGGCGGTGTTCGTGAGTTCAGGAAATCGCTTATCAAATACTCTATTGAGATGGGATTTGAATTCTCGTATGTTAAGAATGAGACAACGAGAGTTACAACGGCGTGTCGTTTCAAAAATGCTAGCCAATGTTCGTGGAGGATACATGCATCGGTGGATAAATCAAATGATTACTGTTATATTCGGTCGTACAACAAACATCATCAATGTGGAATGTTTTTTGGAACAACTAGTAAGAGAAGATTGAATTCAGTTATCATCATTGACCAGATTGAAAATGATATTCGTGCAATGCCGGCTATAACCCCAGGAGAAATTCAGAGCCAAGTGAAGGATAAATTTGGTGTTGACATAAGCTATTGGGTTGCGTGGAGGGCTACCGATGCGGGAAGAAGAAGGATCTTTGGGGACGAGACTTCTTCATATTCCTACCTTCCATCTTATTTCGATGAAGCGGGGAAGACAAATCCTGGTAGTATCTTTCATCTTGATGTTGAGGTGGAGAAGCAGATTTTCCGACGGTATTTTTTTGCATTTGCAGCGTTTTTGGATGGATTCAAGTTTTGTCGTCCTGTTGTCATGCTCGACGGCACGTTTTTGAAAGGTAGATACAAGGGAGTGTTGCTTAGTGCAGTGGGTAAAGATGCTGATGAAGGTAATGATCTTACTGCATTTGTGTAATAGTATCTTAACAGTTATACCATAGTTTATTAAATGTCATATGATAGTACAATTGAGTTATCTAGTAATCTCCACAGTTGATTCACAAAACAGTTAAAAAAATTTGTAGTGATTTTGGTTTAATTTCGTATGTGCAGGTCTGTTCCCTATTGCATTTGCAATTGTAAGTGAGGAGACTGATTCGAATTGGGCTTGGTTTTTGAGTCATTTTAGGGATGCTATTGGAAATGATAGAACGCTCAATTTCGTTTCGGATCGAAACCATGGTATCATCGAAGGTGTTAGGAACATTTTTCGTGACTGTTTGCACACATATTGTTACAAACATTTGCAGAACAATTTGAAATATAGGTTCAGGGGTGTTCCAGCCGGCTTTCGTGAGACGGTGTTGCAACAATTTGCGGCGTGTGCTTATGCGATAACTAAGGAAGAATTTGATCGATGTATTGACAAGCTAAAGACTACTGGTGGGACGAAAGTTTGCAATTTCTTAGATGATCTTCCAAAAGAGAAGTGGTCCAACGTTTACTGCGAGGGTCATAGGTACGGCAGATGACTTCTATTGGATGCGAGTCGTGGAATCATCAAATAAAGAAGCAACGTCACTTGCCGATA